GTAAAATTTGTATGCAGTGATTACTGATTACTGATCCTTTACAAAACCCGTGTTGGGTATTTGAAAGTAGTGAGCAGATCCAAAACGTTCTCTGGTTTGTAAAAACTATCTCAAAAAGCTTAGATAAAGCGAATATTACTGCAATAACTCTTTAATTTCCAATATTTGACCTATAACCGCTGTTATGTAAGTAGACTATAAAAAATTGCTTTCATGATGTAGAGAAAACACCAACAAAAGAGTCGTAGCCGATAAAATTAGTTAAAAAGTTAGATTATTAAAATAAATTAATTAAATCCCCCCCAAGAGCTAACGCTGCACATAACACAGTTCGGGACCACTTAAAAATGACTGGATGCACAAAGATCCTTGTTGTATGAGTGCCACATGAGTTCTGCGATTTGGTACAATTAAATATAACAGTTTTGTTTCACTTTTGCAGTGAATGGAAATCGGTGCTGAAAAGTGGAACACTTACATCAATGTCAAACAATAACGGTCATGATCAAAGGGCAGTGAGCTGGCACAAAAGGCATCCAAGCAATGCTTAAAGCCCACAAAAGTTTTACTGTATCTTTGGTGGGACTGTTAGGAAATCTTGCACTGTGATCTCTTCTCCTACGATCAAACTCTTAACTCAATCCTGTACTATTAGCAGTCGGATTTTGCAGGCAGCAATTGCCGATAAGTGACAAAACCTTGGACGTATTGCGAATGATTTCGCTGCTGAAGAATTTCCCACAAGCCGGTGAAAATCGATTGTTTTGTTTGCCAATAGGGACATGGGTTTGTTTCTATGAGGAAGGCATAATGACATTATCTTCAAAAAGCAAAACGTTATTGAGAAGTAAATTTTAAGTATATGTATATATATAAAGCCTTCAGTTTAAAGCGAAAGTAATGAATTACTCTTTACTAGACCAATATACGAACCGATTTTTTTTGCATTTCTCCACCAATGCTTCCCTTTAGTTTTTCAACAGTCTGATATATTTATATAAAGAAATATTTTTTTTGCCTTAAAACATACAAAGTTATAGATGATCTTATATGCTCTTGTCTAGCTCAATATCATATGCTTGTACATAGATATATGCGCATTATTTGCTTCTTCTTTAAATATTTTAACAGGTGAAATGTAGCAAAGAAAAGCGATGTTTGTTAACAAACATTTGTCCCGTTGTTAATGAGCATTCTAATTGCTTTTTTGTCTATCCTAGTTATACATATATACTAACACAAGTAATCATGATATGCTAATGCGAGCTAACATTTTTATTTTAGCAGTAAATTTTTTTTATTAATATTTGCCGACCAAAATGATGATTTGGACGACGTAAAGATGCAACATCTAGAGTATTTATTGATATTTGGAAAACAAAAATTTTAACTTATAGTAAATTCATGTGTAAATTCTTCCGCAAATGTTAAATGAAAATTATTAAGTTGCATTTAAAAGAAAATCAAGTCATTGTTTATTTGCCGATCTTTTATATTACGGCATAAAATAAAAAAAAAAAAATAATAATAAAGATTGGGCTTAGGTTAAGGAATTGAAAATTCTAAATTTTTGATAATAATTCCAGATTAATTATCAACCTTATCATAGAAACTGCCAATTTTTAACTTTCTTTACAATACGCCGAACTATTGAACGAAATTATTCCCTTCTAAATAAAGTTTAATAAACATTAACGAAAAACCTAAGTCAAATAGAAATATTTTATTTTCATTTTCATACCGAAAAATTCTAAAGTGCCCTTCCATAGATATACAAGTATGTATGTGCAAACATGCATTTTTGTATAAATGTAGTTTAACATCTTTTGTACAGTTCCTATTTTATCCCACAATTTGTCTATTGAAGCTCCACGAAATCGTGCCACAGCCATCACGTTCGACACAACGAATTAAATGCAGCAACACTTTACTAAACCCATATAGCAGTAACAACAATATAAAACAGATGTTGATATTCAGAAGCCAGTCAGTAGCAGCTGCAACATAATATTTTGGACATTCTGTTTTGATTACAACATTCGCAATATGAAATGAGCGAATGAATGAGTAAGAGTTTGGTTTCAGAAAGAAATGAGAGAAAAAAATGTACTAAATAAAATAAATATATGTAATATAGATTAAATGAAAATAATATAATAAATCAAGGAAAAAATAAAATAAAATTAATAAAAGAAGTAAATACAATAAAATTAAGCAAAATAAATGAATATAAAATAAACTAAGCTAAAAGAAAATCAAAATAAAATAACATAAAATAAAACAATATAAAATAGAATTAAAAAATAAATTATACAAAAATAAAATAAAAAAATGAAAACAAAATCAAATAATTTAAAAAATTAAAGAAAAATAAATAAATAGATTAAAATAAAAAATTAAAGAAAGAAAAGAAAACATGATGAAATAAAATAATCTAAAATAAAAGCAAATAAAATAAAATAAAACAAACTAAAACGAAATAGACACAGATAAAATAAAATCAAATAAAAAATTTAACGATAATAATACAATTAAAATAAAATAAAAAATAAATAAACAAAATAACATAAAGTAAAATAATAAATTAAATTAACTAAAATTAAATTAAATTTAATATATTTTAGTAAAATAAAATACAGAAAATGAAATATAAAACTAATAACTAATAATATAAAAAAAAATTAGTTATATAAATTAAGCTAAAGAAAATAATATAAATTAACTACAATAAAATAAGACATATTAAAGTAAATTGGCGGCCGCGGTAGCCGAGTGGTTAGCATTGCGTACTGCCATTTAGAGACGCGGGTACAAATCCTGGTGTCGTACTAACATCCAAAGAGTTATAGAAAATGAAATTAAATAAAAATTAAGTTAAACTTTCTAATTGCAGTCTACCCTCTGCAGGGCATGTCAATCCCGCAGAGTATATTTCTGAAATGAAATAAAGCTCCTCATAAGAAGCCGTTCGTAGGTCTCTTCATTTTTTGAACAAATATCAAGACGCAAAACTACAAATTGGAGGAGGAGCTCGGCCAAAAATCGCTTCATTCGCTCCAATTAAAAAAAAAAGTAAAATAAAATAATATAAAATGAATTCCAATAAACTAAAAAAATAGTAAAAAAATTAATAAATAAATGAAAGTAAACTAAAAAATAAATGTAATAGAATTATATATATTTAAAATTATGAAAAATAAAATAGAATAGTATAAACTATAATAAAGAAGCAAAAAATGTTATGTTAATTTAAATAAAATACGGTTAAGAATAAGTAAATGAATAGAAAAGTATTTTGAAGAAAATAACAAACTTATCATCCCTTCATTTCAATGCTTACATCAAATTTAACACACCTCAAAGAGTGGCAACGCCCGTTACAACCTCCAACTAAAACATGTTCCATTCAAACATGTGCTTCACACGTCGGCGCTTGGTGTTATGCAGCGCTGCTGTTCGATCGACGCTAGCGATAGTTCCCATTAGGTTTTGTTGGTGCTGCCACGTTAGTCACTTACGGCAATGTTGCCAACGAGCATCGTTTATTTCGATCGGTCGGATAATTGATGATCGCGATTTGGAAAAATTTTTATAAATGACAATTTCGTTTTGTCAATGTATCGAAAGCGTGTATAGACGACGAACGAAGTCTCAATTGGGAGATAAGAAAGAAGTTTTTTGTTTGTGAAGCAGAAAGCAAAAAACTCAAAAAGAATCACTTGATAAATAAATAAAATCATTCAACGACAACTTTGCAAAGTGCGAATAAATACAAACGATTGTTGAGTTTGTATAGCGGTAAATACGTGAGCGTGTGATAATAGAAGATAGTGAAAACATATGAATGTGTTGTGTTACGGAAATAAACGATTTCATTGTTTTATACATTTAGTGAGACAGTAAAAAAAAGAGGAGAAAAAACATATTTGTTTTGAAGTTTTCTTCTCATTGAAAAATCAGAAGTGAAGTTTAATGAAAGAGAAGTTTAAATGTTCAAAGTGAATTACACTCAGTTGGAATGCTGAAAAATATTTGAAATTTTATGAAATGCAAAGTGGTTTTATTCTGTGCTTGATATTTGGTATTGCGGGCTCATAAAAAGTGTGTTTTCATTTAGGAAAATTCAAAATTCCTTTCCACTTGCCTATGCGCTTGAAAAAAAGTCACAGGAAAGGTGAGCTACATGGCATAGGCGAAACAATACCGTGCGTAGTTTACACTAATATTGTCGATCACATTCTATCCCTCTCACGTTTTCCCATTTATTATTTTCCAAATAAGAATTTTTTGTTTGTACAAATAAGAAAAGATTGAAATAAAAACAAAAAAGTTGTTGCTTTAGCTAACGAATATAAAAAACGCACAAAGCGAACGGTGTATGGTGTACAAACGTTTGTTTGTGTTTTGCCTTTACGTGTATTCATGACGCGCGAACAGTGAACTGCGCGCGACGCGACGAAAAAGAACGACACAAAACAACGGTGCGATTAAATAGTGTACGTACGTGTGAGTGTGAATGGAAGTAAAAATATATAAAAATACAAAAAGAAATAATAAAAAATAGAATGTAAACGTGCAACGCTACGCTACAATCTCTTGCTGTCATTCACAAAAAGCGAAAAATAATAGTAATTTCAAAAACAATCCGCAGCTGTGAGCTGGATATTGAATTTGATCCATAAAATTTACATTATAGTGCAAACAAATTTTTGAAAGAATTTTATGGAATAACAAAATAATTAGCAGTGTTTTTTATGAATAAAAAATCATAATATAAAGTTACAAAAAATATTTTTATACGTATAAATAGTAATTAATTGCAAAATATACGCAAAATTGTGGTTGAGTTTATAAAAAAAAAAATTGAATTGAATTAAATTAACTGTGTAATATCCAGTTGGTGTAAAAAATATTATTCATGAAATTTAGAAAATTTTGAATCATCTATGCATTAAATATTTTGTGCGAAAAATACATTTGAAATTATTTGAAAGATTAAAAAATTGTTTAATAACAATTTCAAAGTTCATATTTTTAATGAAAGATACGAAGGTTTTCTGGTGAAAAAAAATTGAGTTCCGAAAAGAGTGTTGCCGAAATCTAAGATATTGAAATGAAAAATATTAAAAAAATAAATTGTCTCAAAATGTGTTTTCTTTATCCATATCTATGAAATAAAACCTCTAAATAAGCGACGTGATTGCAGAAACCTGAAAGGTAACTGCTTCATTTTATATCAATTTTACTTTTAAGTTTATTTGACAAATATATCTTTTTAGACCAAGTTTATAAAACAAACTTCCTTTTGAGCATTTTCTTTTTTAAATCAATAATTGCGAGTGTGTGTGTGTCGGCTTAATACGCAGTTCGTTGACCTTAATTGAAACAGCGGAAGTGCGCTTGGACATTTATGTACCGTATTTTGTAATAATATTTTTTTTGCTATGGGAAAAGACAGTGCTATAGTGGTTCGTAAGGGAAATAAAAATTCTGTTACAACAAAACACAAAGAATAATTCATACAATTTTTTTTTATCTTTTGTGACTTTAGAAAAAACGTAAAAATTCAAATGAAGTCTTTTGTAAAAACGTATTTTTGTGCATTTTATAACTTTTTTAATTTAATACATATAATAGATTTCAATTTAAAAATAAATAGTATAATATAAAACCAAAATTAAATTAAATAGAATAATTAAAACATATAAAATAAAATTAAAATAGTATTATTCGAAAGTTAACAAATTGTATTATGACTCTATAATAAAAAATGGACAAAGTGACAAGAATTAAAATAACATAAAGCGAATTGCTAAAATAAAGGAAGAAACTGTACAATCGGAAGACGCCAAGTTTATTGCAAAAATAGATATAAATTTTGTTAAATGATAGTAAAAACAAAATGTTGAAAGAAAAGTATTCAACTAATATTTATATTGTTCATACTATGATTGTTTTAAACTGCAATTTTTTTCAATAAACAAATTTAAACAGCTTTGGATATTAAAATACATAAATTTTGGAAATAATAATAATTAGGGCACACTTAAATATTTCATATATCCGTTATTTGAAATTTTTGTTCGTTTTAAATTTTCTTTACTGCTCTAGTGGGTCCAAAAAATTAAAAAAAAAATGTTGCTTTGTTTTAATAATATTTCACATATACAAGGTGTATATTATAAGTTTACAATAATACAAACTACTATAAGCATTATTACTTAAAAAGTATTTGAAAACTGAAATAACATTCTAACTGCCATTGAATCTCCAAATTATTTTATTATATAAACCAAATAAAAAATTTGTCATCATTCATTTTTTTATTTTATTACCTCGTTAAAAATATGCATTGTTTTCACTAAATATTTCGTTCCGTTGAAGTACCAGCTTGAAATTCAACAACAATTGAAAAATATATGAAATTTATCCATTTAAATTAGCTTGTGCAATTTCAATATCACAACCGCCAATTTATAGCGCATTTTTTCAATTATAATTACATCAATTTTCTATATATCCAATCAGCTGTTCACCTCTATTGATTGGATTGTTATCTTTACTTACCATTTATCAATTTTTCAATTATATTTTACTGTTCTTCGCCATTTATCTATGCCTACATCTTTCTGCTCTTACACAAATACACACATTCACCTTCTGTTCATTTTTGTTCTGATAACCCAATTATGGGTGTGACATGATGACGAGCATGAAACTGGAATGCCAACAACAGCAATAATATCAACTAAAATCGTACAAAATAGTTGTAGTTGTGCAACTGATTTTTTCCATGTACCTGTGTATGTATAAAATGTTGACATTTATTGTTGTTGTTGCTCCAGGTATGTATGTTATTTTATCTTTCAATGAAAGAAAACAAAAAAAAAAATGAATCAATCTGAAAGTTAGTAGAATTTGTAGCAATTTGTCGAAAATAACTATGCTGAATGTATCAAATTTAAATGGAATTTTAATGAATTAAGGTGACTGTTTTTGTTTTTGTTTTTAACAGAAAATGTAGCGAAAAAAAAAATAAAAATAATAATATATTTTCTTGTTTTTCTATTAATTTTATTTTTCGTAGTACAGTAGTGTACAGATGCTTATCATACAGGGTTATCTATTTCGCAGTTTCAAAAATTCTACGCTGTTATTTTACATATGTAAAATTTGACTGTCTAACCAAACATGCTTTGTTTTAGTTAAAAGTCAGTCATTATGAAAATGGATCGCTTAACAAACGATGATGATATAAGCGATGCCACCTTTCGTCATTTGAGAAAAGATTATGGTGAACCAAATCGTCCAACTAATTGATTGAGTAAACTTTTAAGGAAATTTGCAGACTGGATTGCTTACAGATATTGTATGACCTGGGCATCATCGTTTTGCTCGCTTCACCTTAAATATCGCTACTGTAATTGATAGTGTAGCCGAAGACTCGACTGTGTCTATTTCTCGATGTTCGCAGTAGACGTTGATTTTTCGAACAAAATTTTCTTCAGAGGCATTTCGCACACGGGGAAAACGAAAATAAGCAAACACTGTCGCATTTTAATCCGGAGCGTTTTGGGTCGTAAGATAAACGACTTCTTCTGGCCAGCTTTTTAAGAACACGAGTAATATGTACCAAAAAGTGGTCGAAAATTAACTCAAACGGAAGGAGTTTAGCAAAAATTCACAAGGCGTTCTTTTCATTGATGTGGTGCTTTACATATAATGCTAAGATTCAAATTTCATAATAAAAATGGAAAAATAAATTAAATCGTTATTTATTTTTGAAACCGCAACAGGGCTAACCCTGTATTTTCCGTTTTTTGTTAATTACAAATAAAAAATTTGGAGACTTATTCGGAAATGGTTTATTATCTGATGATATTCTAAATATATTGCTTTCCACATTTAATTACTTTCTTAAAAATAAAAAAAAATTGTCTTGTATAATTAATATTTACTGCATGTGAAAACATAAATATATACATATGTCACACCCACAAACAAAAATATCATTATAATAAACACCGCATTTTTTACCTTTGCTACTTCACACAATTCTTTAAATGTTTTATTTCTTTCAATTTCCTCTTTCCATAATATTTATTGCGGTTCTTATTGCTTTCTGAATATTTATACCGCGAGTAGCGATTATCAATTGCCATTTCACTACCTCACCAGCGACCGTCGTAAGCGTCTTCATCGACATTGTTGTCGTCTGTCGCCGTTCGCCGATCGACGCCGTCACCATCGTTGTGGGTCATCAATTGCCATTTCCTGTGCTGACTTCGTATTGTATTTTTTGCACAAACTTTTATTTACTTACAAATTGTCACTTATCCCACCGGCAATAGCCCTTCGCTTCCGCTGCTGCCGTATACTTTAACAGTTGTATGTTGCTCGCCCGCACTTTGTTCGACTAAACATACATACGTACATATGTATATAAGTATATATCTATTTCCTGTATTCGTGTTTTGTGCTGTTAGTCTCCTTCTACATATTTATTATTGCTCTTTCAAGTGCTGAAATTCATGTACAAATGTATTTACATATGTATGTATGCATGTGTATAGATATTTTTTTTCAAGCCACACTTTGCGCATGTGTGACGCATACTTTACGTTAAATTTTGTGTGCGTAAAACAGGCGAGTCCGTTTATTAGTTTTCTGTAAGAAAATGTGTTCGCAGTAGTCTATACATGCATATACTATATGCATACATCTGTGCTTTTCATACTAAAAATTGTATTATTAATTTCATATAACGTACATATATACGCACATATGCAAATGTTTTCAAATATATATTTGAAAAATTTATTGGTTATACTTCAGCAACCAGTTACACACCGTGTAAAATCCGCCAATCTATTGGAACATCATTGCGGCAGTCACATATATACATACATATATGTACATATACATATACCGGCCAATGCAATTGACGAGTGTTTCACGTCATAAATTTTCTTATTGTAAATGCATTTGCTTGTGTTTCTTTACTTTGAACACTGCTTTGTCTATATGTACTTATGTATGTATGTTTATATCCCTCTCGTGTATATTACTGAGTTTTATATTGCTTTTGCTTACTCTATTCTTATTTCCAATTCAATTGATTTTCAACTTATGTATTGACATATATGTATATACATGTGTATATATTTATATAGTACACATAATTCTACGTACAAACACATTTTCATTCACATAAATAGTAATAGCTTTGCCATATGACCGGATATATTGATTTTATTCTAGATTTGCTAAACTCTGTTTGATATTTGTGTATGAGCTGAATGTGTATTTGCGCGTGTGTTTGAATTAAAAAGGGTACTTTTTAGGACATGTGGTTTTCAAGAAGAAATAAAATGCACATAATATTAGGCAGAACCCGAAAAAAACATTTTTTCAATAATTTTTTTTTTAAAGGAGAGGAAGTTTTCAGACTATAATGTACTATATTTAGGTTTCAAAAAATCATTTCATATTGGTATTTTCCAATGTTTTGCTGAGTTTTGTGAAGCGGCTGCAGTCTTAACTCGTGAAACGTTGCCGGTGATGGAGGTCGTTTGATGCATTTAAGTGTCTCTTCTATATGAACTACGAAAATACCGAAGAAGTTGGAAAATTCCAAGTTTTTTGAAGTTTGAAGAAAAAAAATGCATTTAAAAAAAAAAAACTAACCTCAAGTTGCAGAAAATATAGATTAAATAAAATTTTTTTCCAACACTTTTTGGTATAAATAGAAGATAATTTCTTACTGAAGCTAGATCACTTTGATTTTTTTTCCATCGAACATATATTCATTTTGCTATCAGCGGCACCGTTTTTTAAGACTTTATAAAAATGAAAACTAGAGAAAATGTGCTTTAAATATCTGGCAGATCTCGGCTAGTAAAACTGCTCTAGCTGCTAAAATATGTCTAAATGACCTGTGAAATTTTGAAGAAATATTCTTTGATAGTTTTAGAATAGATTTAAGTCCATGCATTTTTTGAAGACTACAAAGAAAAGCCATTATTGTTTTTATTAGCAAAAATATTTTAAAAATGATTTCGATTAAAGTGACTCGATTACATTTCAGCCAAGGTGCCCGACTTTGTGCTGCAATTGAGGCCCTACGTTAGCAGTAACGCGCCAAATATTCGCTTCCAAGCCGTCAATAGTGTCATACTTCACACATACCCCACAAAAAATGGTTCAGTGGTTTTAAG